GAAGTAAACTTGCAGCCATACGAAGGATGAAGAGTCCTGGAAACGGTAAATATGTGGAGAATGTATTTTTTCATACATAACTATATTTTCTTCTTTTATTTTTCTTGAGAGGTGACTGTTTAAAATAAATGTCATACTATAATACTGTTAAAAGATAAACTGAGGCACATAAAACTTTTGAAGCATTTGTGCAAACATTGATTTTTTTTCCCTTCAGTTTTATTAGGTAGAATGATTATAGTTCAACTGCACATACACATTATATTGCATGTAAATACGTATGCACAGTATACTGCACATTTTTTTAGTTTACATATATGTACTGATTATTGTTTCTAAGAACAGATTAGAGCTTTAGCTTTTTAAACTTACAGAGTTATCAGAGGAACAAAGCCAACTACAAAGTAAGAATCAGCAGAACGGGTAATCCAAACATTGTGCTAAACTGAACGTGGCTAGGGGGCGCTCTAAGTGGCAGGAGCCAGGGGAACAGGTGCAAAAAAAAAGCAAGGCTATTTCATTGGCTGTATCTTGAGCAACTGCAGTATTTGGAAAAGTCTAGTTGGCTGCTTGTGATTGGTCGTTCTTTAGTATTGATTTCTTAATCCTGAGGCATTTACAGAAATTGGCTCTGGCTTAGGTTTTGGCTTGCTTACGTTAGCCACCCTAGGCTAATGACTTCCTTGTTTAATGACTTGAACAACAGGGAGGGGTTTATTATGTAAGTATATGTAAAACATAGAACAACAATAGCAAAAGAGGTGGTAAATGAAACTTTAATGTAGTAAGATTCCCATATGTCACACATTGATTTTATATATTCATTCTAAATAGACTGTGATGAGTTAAGGAAGCATATCATAATCCCTAGAACCACCACCAGAAATACAATAAAGACAAGTATAGGCAAAAGGCCAATAAGGACATAAAAATGAAATGTACAGCATATTTGATTAGTAAAAAGAAGACTGGAAAAGAGTAACATAGGAACAAAAACCAAGGAGAAAACCAAAAGCAAGCAGCATTTTGGTAGACTCAAAATCAGTAAGTACATTAAATACCAATGGACTAAACACACTAATTAAAAGGCTGAGATTGTCAGGCTCAAGTACATTCAGTCTACAAGAGACACACTTAAACCTAAAAACACAGAAAAGTAGAAATTAACAGGATAGAAAGCCATACAGTGGAAATAGTGAGATGAGAAAACTAGTGTGACTATATGGTATTGGACAAAGATTTTTAAGAGAAAGATTATTATGAGAGAGAAGGGGGAACTTGCATAATTATAAAAGGGTTAAATAGTATAATAGTAAATAGTAT